GGGGGTTGGAGGGCGTGGGTGGGCAAGGGCGACGCGCTCCCATAACCGCGCGCGTTGTTAGCGTTTATGGTAATTAATGTAGGTGACCAGCGAGCAAGTAGCTGTGAGGGGAAAGCAAACGGTCCCGGGTTTGCAGTCGAGTGCGAATTCACTCAACGTGGCGAAAACACGTTGCTAGGCAGAGGAGAATATATGTTTGTTTTATAAACGCCATGTGTAGAGGCATTCAGATTTAATAACACAAAACAACGCAAAATCTGAATGACAGCGGCCAACCTGGGTAGCCGAGATCGGTAATGCGGACGAGTGTTCTTCAGTGGCATTGCGAGGTTTTCGGAGGTTCCGGTGCAGAAAGTCGAAACGGTAAATTGTTAGAAATTATAATAATTTTCGGAACCGATCTTTCCAAAAATTTTGATTCAGAAATGAAGGAAAGTTTTTAATTAAACCTTTTGAAATCAAAAGCACATTAATCAGAAACCATGATTTAGATTGCAGAATTTTATTAAAATTATAATACGCATATTCATTGAAAATCAAAAAAATATGCCTTTTCATTCAAAAAATAAAAATTAAAAACTAGAAAAGAAACTCAATGTCAGTCTGAAGCTTACGGAATGAAGGCTAATATTACACCAACACTACTTAATCCCAGCAGGAAAACAAGCAGCGAGTTGATTCAGCTTATTTCAGCTACAGTAATTGGTGTCCAGCCAAGCAGTAAGTAAACATTATGTGTTCGCGGCTGTCATGAAAGCAAAGTAGCCAAGGTATCATGCGAAGTTCTAGAATCTTCTGCGCATTTTGTCAACTCACAGAAAAGTCGAAGTAGTCGGGCGTGGATTCGATGTGCGTTCACGGACTCTTCGAATCAAAGACTGAAGTCCATCTGACGTGGTGTAACGGTTTATCGAATATTACACCACGGGTACAATTGATACTCGGGCATTCTCTGTTCACCCGAAACCAACTCCAAATTTACAACGCTATGTCCCTCTATAAAAAAATCAAGTGATTTATTTATATTTTATATCGCGAGCTCCAAAGAAAACATTCATAAGTCAATATTGAGTCATAACGAGTTCATGGGTGGTTGGGATGGAAATTGAGAAAAGATTAATTTGAGAAAAGAGTCAGAATGTATTTAAAATTCATTAAATTTTTATTGGAAATCACGTTATCTCTCTTTCACGAGCGTTTGTCTAAAGAAAAGAGGTATAAGTACATTTATGCCATTCGTTGTTCAATCACATAATAAAATACATTATATTTGGATACTTCATTGATATTAAAACAGTCCTCTTCAAATATGGCATTTTTTCACGTGGGTCAGGTTCTTCAATTGTCATTGTGTGCCCTCATCCACGCATGCGTAATAGCTTATTTTCTCTATAAAAAGACATCATGGATGCCGAGCACATGGTACGGTTGCAGAGACCCAAGGAATATTAGGAATAGCTACAGTTTTTCGGCAACGCACCTTCGGGACAGTATTTAATCCGCAACTGGTGCAATGATTTTTCCCGAAGTATCTGGTACAATGGAGTTTGACACCTCGCGATATTTTTGTCAATATCTTCTGTGTTAGCGTACTCAAGATACAGTTTCCGCATTCCTTGGTTTCAAATTCCTAGATTATCAAGCAATAAAATATCTAAAAAAATATGATTGGAAATAATAGTAATAGTAATAGTAATAATAATGATAATAATAATGATAATAATAATAATAATAATAATAATAATAATAACACCTGAACTGCTATCCCAAATTCTTGGTCATTACTATTTTTATTAAATAAGATATACGTACGTACGTACACTGAAAAGAAAAGAACCGTTGGAGTATACTAGAAGCATGATGCATCCAGACACAAAGTTCCTTGTTACGATATCATGAATCTGATATACTCCAATGGTTCTTTTTTTTTTATACGACTAGTTTTCTTCTTGAGTCAATATGACTACATACGACCTATTACCAATTCATTTTGTCTCTCTAATCGTGTCAGTACACACGCTCAGAAATATACAAAAACTTCTGGTAATACAGCTATTTTTTAAAATTATTTCTATCAATATCACCATCGGTCACTATAATATAACACATCACACAGGATCATTAAGCTTTCCGAAATTCTCAAAATTCACGAAAAAAAATTGGCTATTAGAGCATCAAAGACTTTTATAGTTCGCGAATCACCGAGGGCAAAAATTCAAACGCAACTGTCAGATCCCTCCGGAACTAACGATAAGTCTGCCAGACCCCTCCGGAAACATAACAGGCTGTCATTCGGAGAAAACGAGAGCCTTTTGATAAGCCACTTCCTGTGAAAAACTGATAAGCTCTCAAGGGCACTGATAGGCGAGAGTAGTCTCAATGGAGTATTTGCACGGCGCGGGGAACAGCAATCGACAACGCAATCGACCTTCTGCGCAAGCACATTTCCGAGTTTCACGTTTGTGCATCTGCGCATGCGCAGTACATCGAC